ACCCGCAGCTTTATCAAAGTAGCATTCTATATAATGGGCCTATAAAATAAAGTAAGCATCTCAGCTGTAGAAAAGTAGGCACATGTCAAAAATAATAACTACTCAGCAGTCTTTGTCAATTATCTTACATTGTGAACCGAAAACCGGATTGCTGAAACCCATTCAAGCAACATAGTGAGAATCCATCAGTCAGCCCCTGCTACTGAGGGAGATCCCACATTTTGCGACGATTTATCCAAGTAGGCTGCAACAGATCTTAAAGATCTCTCAACGCCATTGTGCTTAATCCTGAGGACGGCCGGGTACATCATGGCGAATGCAATCCCCATCTCTCTCAGAAGTTGTTTCACGTTGTAGAATCCCTGCCGCTTCTTTACGACCACAGCGGAGAAATCCTCGAATATCATAATGGGGGCGCCGTTGTAGATTAAAGACTGCATCCTCCTGGCTGCTTGCATGATCCGATCTTTATCCTGAAAATAATCCTCCCCCGTTGCCCCGGGGGAGGAGGGCGAGCGAGCGTGCGCTGACAGCGGTCGATTTTAACGGCGTCGCCCTTGAAACTCACGCCCACCAACTGCAGTAACCAAGTCCTAAAAAGTGACACTGGGTTGGTACCTTCACTGCCTTCGGGGAGCCCAGTAATACGTATATTGCACCGTCGGCTCCTATTCTCCAAATCGTCAATCTTGTCCAAAGCAACTTCTAGCTTGAGCTCAACTTCAGAGACTTTAGCATGGTGGATAGCCATAGCCATAGCTGGCGCCCCAAAGCCTCAGACATATAGCTAGTGGTCAGTCAGGCTGTGACGTAGAGATGACCGCGACGACGACAGTTGAAGAGCAGCTTTCACATAATTCAGTGAGATATTTACTGAGATCTTCACCCTTTCGTGAGAAAGACAATGGTGGAAAAATTCAAAGTAAAGGAGCTGGGACCTGACAAGTCCGAAATAAATTTAACGCAGCGAACCAATGAAAAAGCTAAGTCCTACAGTAAATGAATTAGAATGAGATTTCTAATACACATAAAATGTCTCTGACTGCGTATAAAATGCTGCGCAGGTCATAGTTAAATCAATCTAATTCATTTACTTACCCCACTCTTCTTCAGTGGTAAGTTAACCCAACTCTGTGCTTCCTGTAATGGGAGCTGTCAATCAAGGTACAAGGACGTCCCTGTCACGACGAAAGTGACCAATCATAAGAGGGTCAGTGCCCTCCATGGTTTCCGCCCCCAAATTGTCAAAAGTCCTGTGGACTGGAGCGAGCAGAAATCCACTGCGCGAGCAGAGTTATCCTTTGAGAACAAACCAGGCGCTCGCTCGCAGAAACTTGTGCAACTCTCGGTTGTTGAATTTGTGCACGAATACTGTATCTGCGCGCGGGAAGGTTAATTTTTGCGCGTGTGAAATAATATGTGCTCCTGAGAATGTCTTACACGCTCACAACATTTGACATAAAAATGACAACATTTGCCATAAAAATTACGCCATACAAAGCTGTCTGCCTGGTGAGCTTAGCAACCCAAGTCGAGTACGCTGTTGCTTTAAGCAATCAGATTTAACGTTGATCACCTGTGTGTGTTCACTCTGTTGATTAGATGATAAGGTACATAGCGTACCAGCCAACTTTATCAAACTATAAATAGAGTACGCTATTTGAGTATTTCATGTGCGATTTACTGATTTGCTCTGCAACTCGCTGATTTGCTGCGCCATTTACAAGCAAGGCGGTTTAAAACGGACTTTCCAAGAAAAGTAAGTGAGTAAAATTTTGTTATCTTCCTACATAATATTACGAGTTTCTAAAGTTTTTATTGATGTTTTTTCCCTGTATTGTTTTGGCTCTTTACAGAATGTCTATCAAGGAGGTCCTGCTCGACAGGGTTCACGGACCCTATTTCAGGGCCCCCCCGCTTAAGGTCCACGTCTTGGCGGCCAGGGAGCAGACGCGGGTCCTGTCCTGGGAGTTCGGGGAGACGACGGCCACCCCAAAAATGGTCAAACTTAACAAAGTGGTGGCCATCACTGATGGCCACCACTTTGTTAAGATAACACTCTTTGAGGAATTTTCCTCAAAAGTGAGAACTGACTGTTCATATCTTATGAGGGGTTACTCTCTTAAGGGCCAGTCGCCCCCGTATATTATATGGGTCACCAGGGACACCCAGTTCCTCAGAACGTCTCCTGTGGCGGTCTCAGAAGAGCTGGCTGCGGAGGCACTGTCCGCCCTGTGTCCACCATCAAGCCTGATTAATATTGGGCAGGTCCGAGGTTCAAAAAGACTGGTAACAGTCGAGGGCCAGGTGGTTGAGGTAATTACATTTAAATGTCCATATTTCTATTTATGAAGGCATTTTAAAGTAGATGCAAGACAATTAAGTACAGATCAGAGAAAACTTTCCTAAATCAGCTGTAATATCAGGAATCGCCTTTCAAGACACAGCTGAGCTTCTATGTGCTTCATTTCAGGAACAGAAAGAGGTCGTTTGCCATGTTCATTTTTTGTTTTTACATGTCTTTAATTGTTCTTTTTAGATCTCTGCTGTTAAAAAGATTTTGGTGGGGAGGGAGCAAGTCCCCAAAATGATTGTGCGCCTTCAGGAGGTAAAGAGAGCTACTTGGATTGATTTCTTACCACTACTGTGTCATATGTCTGACCAGAACTGTTTGTGTGAACAGGGTGACGACCAAATTGAGGTGGCGCTGTGGGGGGAGGCAGCTGTCCACATGGTGGAGCTGGGGGCGGGAGCGCAGCCTTTGTGGACCAGCTGCAGTCTACAACGTTCACTGCCGTTGAGGTAAGCATGAATGTTTAGCTTTGCTGCAATATATTACAGACATGCTGTTTTTGTATTTTCTTTACAGATCCAGGCTAATTCGGCTAAAGAGCTGAATACTGTGGAGGTCCTCGGCGTGCTGGAGAGCGAGGAAGAGGGACGCCTCTACCTTGTACTGGACAACAACATCCAGTACAAGATAGAGGCGTCCCTCTGGGAGCCGTTTGAAAAAGTACTGCAGCAGAGGAGGCTCTTTATCAACGTCGCAGTTGTCGGGGGTGCCATCACCAGATTGAAAGCGGTGGAGGCCCCCCAGGATTCGTAGCATTTTTTTTTGCTGAATAAATGTTCAAAAACTTCAACCTTTGTCCTAGATTTTATTTGATATTAAATGTTAACTCTTTATAGTGTTATCCTTTTCACACTTGTCTTCAAGAAATTCTGCCGTTTGGTTTAAATGAGTAAGCTAAAAGCTCAAAACGAGCTAACTGCTAGGTGTGCGAGGTGAGAGGGCTGAACGATAATTTATTTTAGGTAATTGTAAATAATTATTTTTTATCTGGTTCATTACTAAAGAAAGAAGAAAGACTTTATCTTTGTTTGGTGTCTTTTAATTGCACTCTCCCCGGAGCCTAGTGTCTTATTTTCTATCTTTTTTAATCTGGCCCATCATTGATGTGCACATACCCAGTAGTGCAGTCCATAGGTCCAAAATTAGCTGTTGGATTAGTATTCAGCTAATAACGGATTTGTAGGTCAGAAAATGAAATCATTCAAGTTTGGGAGGTGATATTGGAGTGGAAGCCAGACCTGCTCAGCTCCCTGACACGCTTTGTTATAATTTGAAACGGGTACGAATGCCTCTCAGTGCTCACCCACCTGTTGGTCAGTGTGTAAACTTGAAACCTTTTCAATCTAGCAGCTCCTCCTCTGACCACTCTGGTGAAGAGGGGGCCCCGGCAGAGAAGAGGAGGAAGAGGAGCGCAGCTCAACCCCGGACTTTAGCGTCTTTATACAGGTCCTCCCTGTAGGAATCACTGGCCAGCCACCAAACTAAACTCAGAGACCTCATTAACTGAACAGAAATCTACTCTGCTTTGTTTTAATCTCTTTAATTATATTCTCCAAATATTATTTTCACTCATATCAATTAAAGCTGTCCTACTAGAATCAATCCTAAATATATTTGCAGTTGAGACATCCTGGTGTGAGAGTGCCACATTTAAGAGTATTATTATTTATACGTTTAGTTAATTTCTCAAAATATTTTTTTTTCTCATTTGCATTGGGTCCATAGCAGTTTATTATTCTGATATCTTTATGGTTATAATTCACATCTCTAATCTACCAATATCATATATTTCTATAATATTATTTATTAAATCATCTTTCATTAGTATTCCCACCCCACTGGTATTGTTTATCCCATTACTAATATAATATTTTTAATTTTTTTTATTGAATTCTCATCCCATTTGGTCACTTGCAGGCATATTCTTTATATTAATAAAAAAATAATTTATTATTGTTCCTTAAACTGGCTACATAAAGCAGATAAGGTTCAGCTTTGGGTGAAGATGTGCAGTCTGCCCTTCACTCATCGTCTTTCTTTTGGCTCATTGTTCCTGGCTCATTCTTGTTTTCATCTGTATGAGTTGATCCTCCATTTCAGAGTCAGAGCTGGGAGGGTTCACAGAAGCATTTTGGG